AAAAACAGGCATTTCAGATCAGACCTCCCCAGAGCTCTGAATAATGGAGTGATGCCTCCAGGGTCTACCATTCAGCTACCCGAGCCTGCATACTAATATAYTACTCGCATCAGAAGAGTAGAAAGGCACCACTCATGCAGAAAATTACCTTAAATGAGCAACGACTTCATGATAAACAAGCCAGTCGCTTTTTCACTTTGCTCTTTGATTTAGGTGGTGGGGGGCTCCTCCTCCCTCCTGCTAAGGAGTAGATGGAGCCCTCTGGACCCTGGCAAGGAGGCCACAAAGCCGCTCTCCTGTCGCAAATGCGGGATTTGGGGTTGTTTGGTCCAACATCCAGAGCCTCAGTGGCATTTCTGGGGGGATGTGARGGGAAGGAAGCACTTGCAATGTTTAGTATCCAGGGAAAAGGCTTTAAAAACAGCATTCAGAGAACCCAGAACATTCAGAGGTACAACTGGAGCGTCGCAYACAACACGAAAGTGCAAGACTCGTGTCCCTCTACCTTTCCCATCGCATCCATGACCCAATTTCCTCAAAACCCCCCAAAACGCCCCTTCCCAGCCCAGCTTGCAAACGCTCCTCCCTCCTTCCCAGGGCGCTCCTGCCTCAGCCCATTAAAGCAGCTCTCCCCCCGGCCCTTTTCCAATTAAGTGGCATTTAGGCGGGCAGCGCTGGCTGCCGCCGCTGCTGGCCGCTTCGCCGCCTGCGAGGACCCATGGGTGCTGCACRCGGGAGAGCTCCCCGTGCCCGATGTTCCAAGGAAGCTTGGCGTGAGCTCCAGCGATCCCGGGGAATCCTGCGGCAAGGAAACCTCGCCACGGACAAAGAGGCTTTGTTAGGAGAAGACACGTTCAGCCCAACCCCTTCACTCCAAGAAGGGCAGGGAGAACAAGCTGCTTTGGAAGGAATCTGCTGGGAAACCCTCGTCTTTCTTTTCCCCTTTCCCTGGGAGTGTAAATTCATGTATTCTAACACACTGTGGGAATTGATGGTGTTGACTCGGTGCTGGTTTGTACGGGCTCAGAAAGCAAAACCCGACCACACGTGGCTCAACTCTGGGAAAGGGGAGAGGTCCTCACCCTGCTCCGGCTCGGAGGATCCCGGCTGATGAGAGGCAAAACGCTACCCTGGAGCCAAAGCTGGTGAACCAGAGACTAAATGTTAGCCTTCCATGAAAGAAAACGAGATTATTTACTTATTTATTAATCCTTCATAACTGCTATTGCTCCTGGTTTGATTCAATGCTCTTTACGCTGCTGTGTGAAGTCAGCACTACAGCAGTCGCCTTCCTTTCTTCGTGAATTTGATTTCTCTATCTGCCCAATCTCAGAATCGGCGTGTTTGGGGGTATCAAAACCCAGGTGAAAGGCCAGAGGAGGAAACCCCACACATTCAGTGCCTGCCCTCTGGATTTCCTGTAAGATCTGCCTTTCTGCTGGCTCTCTGCTCACTCCAAGGAACATTCCTGGTGGTGAAAAGGCAAAACCCTTGACGGAGCATCCATGACCACAGAGGTATGGACTGAGCACCTGGAGAACACATTCTCTCACCTGATCACAGCTTCACAATATAAAACAAATATATCAATAAAAGTAAYAAGGAGGGATTTAACACAGCAAGAAGCACTACCTGGGGATGTGCGCACTGGCAAACACGCACCGGCCTTAACAAACCAAGAGAAGTTTTCTCTTTCCAAAGCATCACACTCAAATAGAGTGGCTGCAAGGGAGCTGAAAGCCTCTGGTCTGCATTAGGTGGCCATTAAAGATCATACAAAGAGCTGTATTAAGAGAAAAAGCTTCCTACCCAAAGCCCCTTGCAGAATGAAGGGCAGCGGCATTCCTGCTCATGCCCGTACTGGAATCTTACTTACCACAGCAATCAATCTTATTTTAAAAGCTGTTACGCTGCTAAATCTTCAGAACTGCAGTTTATTAAGAACTACAGGCCTGCACACAGTGGCTATTCCAGAGCAGTAATCTGCTAGGACAGGTTTAGCCTGGGCTCTTGCAAATCCCTCTAATCAGTGTTTTGGCKCTGTTCAGTTTTCCCCCCAACGCCATCAATTCGAAGCCGAGAGAAGCATCAGCAAGGAAGTTTCTACCATTCCCATCCTTTCCGCTTATCTTGGGCCTCTCCTTCACTTATTCTGGCTATGAAAAATGGCATTTCTAGAAATACCCAAACCTGGGAATCCTCCTAAGCCCCTCAGTCCTCCTGGCATCGCTTCTAAGTCGAGGCCTAAGGTCCCCTGGCACTCGCCAATCTCCAAGGCAGCCAGTGGACCAACATCCAATCCCAGACACTCATTACTCAAGTAATTTATTACTCAAGTAATTTATTACTTGTGGGCTGGCCAAGAGGCTATTTACATGAGCAAATTAGATGCTTTAGAGTACCCCCGGTAGCATCCCGGAGCTTTACCTCCGCTTTAAACGCCAGCTCAGTTGCTTCTCCCCTGAATATGTTGTTCACTGGAGCCGAATTTAACTCGGGTATGATGCATCGCTCTTACTTTTAGAAAGTTCTCAACCTCCTTTTGATCTGCAACTGCAAAAAGGCAAAGGCAGGAGCAGCACGGCTGCCTTAAACACATGAGACAGCGTGCCCGAGCAGCACCAACAGACCGGGAGGTGACTCACCCAACATAATCAACGATTTTCGCTCGGGGAGACTACAGAGAATAGGTGGYATTAGCTTAATTTCCATTCCGAGCCTTGTGGCTGTGGATTCCTGGCTGCTGCGGTGTGCTTGGAAGAAAGATTTTGGGCTCAGTCACCCCAAACTGATCATTATGGTCGTACTGATCTTAATCRGGAGGCAAGCATGAATTACTCACTTGCCTCCCATTTTTACATGTTTGCAGTGAGTTGTTTCGCAGCGCTGCTTGACACAGAATACAAAAACGGGAGTATTTCACCCTGAAACATGCCACCGGATCAGCCCCAAAGGGGAAAGAGATTCACAGCTGGGATGGGATATCCCTGGGGAAGAGAAATGATTTTTTTTTTTTTTTTTAAAGAAATGAGTTGTATTTACTAGTTTATATGTGCAAAAGGAGGCAAGCAGAGTAGGAGGGGATACGATTACGTTTCACCCCCCGTGAGGAGTCTGGACAAAGGGAAAATTGGCTCTGACAGCTAACATGCTCTGCCACGAAGGGAAGAGCTTTCCAACGAGCGAGACCTAATGGGCCCAGTCGGAGATGTCAGGAAAYGTTGGATACCACCTTTGTCAGCAACAGCAGCAAGTCACCTGCACAGCAGCCAGGATTTTTCCTTTCCTTCCTGTTTTTCCTAACKGCTTTTAACTGTGGTGTCCGTGCTGGGTGCTGTTCAGACTAAGGGGAATTCTAACCCGAGCTGAGCATTGATTGATCGACTTAYAGCTGAGCTCTCACCTACAGCCAATACTGCTCTAACCTATAGCCAATACCCCTATTTAGTTGACTAGTATTGATGCAGCTGCAAAGCAGCAGGCTGAAAAATAACACTGAAAAAGGACACAGTTAAAGGACGCACTGAAAAAAAAATCATTAATGAAAATATACAGTATTAATGAGACAGAGAGACACTTCCAAAGCAGCTCTCCATTGGAAATTTCTCTCTAGACAGGGGTCACAATTCTGTAGAGTGCTGGAGACCTAACCTTGTGAAGGGGTGCCTGGATGAGGTATCTGCTTTGCAATCAGCATGAGCAAAAACAAGTCCATCCTCCAACAGAAAAAGAATTTCTGGCTGCCTTTTTTACTTCAGATAAAGCCAAGAGAACTGAAACTCRGGTGGTAACATCTCCAAGGAAACAGCTGGAAAGCTGCTGTTCTTTGCAGATGCCCTGGTATCCTGTGCTGAAGACACCTTGCACAAAACCATGCCACAAAAACCACAGACAAGGGCTTGTAAGATACCACAAACTACGCATGCAGCAAGACAGATTTCTTGCACTGTGTCTCCATRMAGAAGAATCTATTTCATCACATCAGTTTGCTAAAATCAGTAACATGAACACCTTGGCAAGTCATYTTTTTTCATATTTGTTGTACTTTTCCTATTCTTGTCATGAGAAGTGTTCTCTAGCACAGATGAATTGCTACTGCCTCTCTCTAAACATGCCAAGCCCAGAGGCTGCTAGGCAAAGGGAGAAACCATTTTCACTTTTGTGCCTCTTCCTTATTGACAAAGACCTGGGATGGACATTTGTTAACTGTATGAAATCCCCCATTCACACTGACCCCTATATTATATCCTTTCATGCTACAGTCCCCCAGTGTAAAGGAATCTTATGCCAACAAGAGCTTCTTCTTCCAGTCTGCCAGTGTCCTTAGTCACACAACCCATAAAATCCTCCTACARCTGCTGCAAGATACTGATGTGAGAGTGTTGCCAATAACCAAAGGCAGCCCTGACCTTGACTTCACACCTGCAATTCCATGGGCTGCCTTTCTTAGTCATATTGCTTGGAAAATGAAGTGGGAGAAAGGGCTGCAGCTCTCTCCGAGCCAGCAGCCTTCCTCCTGATAACATTTAATGCATCCTAAAAGCACAACCGGCCACCGTAACGACGGCACTTGCACRAAGTCCCTGCAAGGGAGGGGACAATTTTCTACAAAAGGGAGGCTGCCAATTTTCCATCCTCCTAAATTCGGAGCAACGTGCGACGGGGCCGAAGCAGCGAGCTCAGAAACGGCAGCTTTGAGAGGCGGAGGGACCGCAGGGTCACGCAGCCCGTCTGCTTCGGTGCTAAGGGCAGGATGGATCCCCATGGTGTGTCCTCCAGCACGTTGCTCCCAATAACAGCATTGTGCTGGCCAAAGCTGGGCTGGAGCTTGACTCCATCGCTAAGAAGCAGTTTTTCTACCTGGAAGTTGTTTTTCTACCTAATACGATGAGTGGTCACAGCAGTGGTGCTGGCTGCAGTGGGTTCATTTTCAGATTAAGTTAGGAGAGGGGTGGGGGGAAAAACAAAGGGAAAAAAAGAAAAAGATAAGGCAAAGGTACCTGAAATAACAGCAATTTTCCATGACCCGTGCTCCTCTTTGGCTATTCTTTCTGCCTCCTCCATCAGCAACATGCCAAATCCCTACAGTGGAAGGAACAAGAGGCAGAAAACAAAAATCCAGTTAAAATAGGAAAAAACTAAGCAAGGTCAGATTTCAAACACTAACACAGACCCAGAAGACTCCTATTTCTGGCAGAGGAATGATGAAAACGTCGTTGCAGGCGACGACAAAAGCTAGTGGGGGGCTGCAGGGCCCGTGGGCCTCTTGCTGGGGCAGCCTCGTGTGGGGCTCTTGGTGGCTCAGGGGACAACCGTGCAAGAGGAGATGCCACAGCACAAAGAAGGGCAGAAGATCATGTGAACACCACGGAGCAGAACCACGTTCCTCTTTATGGAGAAAATCTTGCACGGCAAGAACGCCACTGGAATCCAAACGCTTCCAAACAAGGGAAGAGTTTTTCCACCCTATTTAACAAGTGAGGTGGTTCAATACTCACTGAACACTGGATTAATTCTCGTCTAATATTAGGATGCAGGAGTTCTGCTCGGCTCTTTGTCTGTGTGTTTTCCTGACAAGATGTACAGACTGGGGCTGGGGGGAAACTGAAGTGGATGCGACTTAATTCCAAGAACATTTAATACTTGTAGGCATTTTTAAATAATGCATACAAGCCCTCAATCTAAAAACGGTCTTCTAATCAGAAATTGTCCTCACCAATAGAAGAGAACAGTTCCTGCTTAACCTCTTGAACACTGGCTCCTCTGAACGAGCATCAGTGCGTCATAGGCCATGAAATCTCAATTTCCAGCTTATTTTAATGTTTGTAGCTGGCTACTGTCAATTGATTTTTCTTTTTTTTTTTTTTTTTTTCCTTTTTTCTTAATTCTTGGGATGACCACATTTTTTCCCTTGCTAAATTTTGAAATGTTACCATTTTAGAGTGGAATTTTTTTTTTTATCCCCCAGCTGCTGCCTTGTGGCCATACGTCATCACTGTCCAACAAAATTGCATCTTAATGCATATACTCAGGGAAAGATTATTAAATACACGGAAGTTAATTTAAAACATCAGCCCTGAGCGTTTTTGGCACCGAGGACAAAGTGATTGCTTCTTTTAAAAGCTCAATCTTCAGGTTTAAAATCTACCGGGGCCTAAACTCAATCACACCAGCAAAAACCCAGAAGCAACAGGAATTTCAGCATGCAAAATCCAAGACGGGGCTTGATTTCAATTCTCTTCCTCCTGCAGCAGATTACAACCCAAAGAACTGCGTGAATATCAAAGATTAAATACAATTTYGTACTGATTAGAATGGGGAGGGATGAGGAAGAGGCCCAGGGGGAAAAATGAGGGATGTCTTGGAGTACCTGATGCTGGAACTTGGAAGGATCCCGGCTGCTCACGGGGACCACGCTCCCATAGACGTGCAGCTCCCGGACTATGGAGACGCCTCCCTTGAGCTCCGCTCGGAACGACTCCTCCGAACACTTGCGCAGGCGCAGGAGGCCCACGAGGATATCCTGCTCCGGATCCTCGTAGGCCAGGAAGGTCTCCCAGCCTCCGTTCGCCACATAATCTCTTCTAACTAATTCAATCTGCTCAAAGAAAATAAGCCACAAAGACAAGGAGAGGAAAAAGAAGGTTAGGAAGAATCCTTCAGCAACACGTCGAATGGACCCAAACCAATTTGATGGATCCATAAATTATTATGATTCAGAGAAAACACAAAGTGCTTTCTTAAAGCCCAATTTAATTCTAGATGGATTTTAGCAGTAATGGGTAAGAACTGAAGGAGCTATTACTGCAGTCATATTAAAGATAAAGCATGTGACTATTTTAATAGAAATATATTGGCCAACAGGATAAAACTAGTCTTCCGTGCCCCATGCAGGCTCTCCAGAAAGGTTCATAACCCAGAGAGCTAGCTGGTGAGTCAGAAATATAAAACTATTTTCCTTATGTTACTCGAGGTTCATAACCACTTCAAAAATCAATGAGGACACCAACTCTTTGCCCTAACCAAGGGACTCACGCTGAGCTGCCACTCCTAATGACAKATCAGCTAATGCAGAATGGGAATGAACCTGCACTTAGGCCACATTTTGTGCTGTTCTAAAAAAGGCTTGAGGTGTCTACAAACCAGGGTTTTCTAAGGAGCAGGCAACTCCCTTTCCTAGTTATGAATTGGTGGATGGGGATGGTGTAATGGAGCAGATCTGAAATGGATGGCGTTGAGTAAGAAGTTCCAGAAATTTTTGCAATGCATCGTAAAGTGCATCTGCACTTCACAGATCAGCAGCAAGGGCTCAGGTATCAATGGAGACACCCAAAGCATCTGGCCAAGCACTCTGATAAGTGACCAGGAACAAAGAATTACTYGCCTTGAACCTAATTTATTGATCACAATCTAGAAAAAGGCACTTCTGAAGACCACAACAAGGAGAAGGGAAAAGCAAAGGCTTGACTGCCTGTGGAGAACGTGATAAAGACTGTGCTAGGGTAGAAGAAATTAGTTCTGCAGGTCACCTAGAAGCTGTAATGAGCGACTGAGCAAAGAGCAGGAGAACTTGTTTTTCAGAGAAGGAAACTTAGCATCACAGGGAACATCATCAAGGCCCACGACCCGAGAAATGACACAAGATCAGGCTTCCCTAAGGCAATGTGAGATCTGATCAGATCTCATATAATGCAGCGGAGTTAACACTCAGTTAATTTAATGTATCTTGTTGCTGATGACGACGAAGCCACATCTCTGGTGACACGGTGAGTCACASCACTTGGGCTTTGAATCGAGCTGGACTAGCTACCCAGCCTTGCTGTAAGGATTCCCTTGGCCACCCTGAGCACCTGGTGAGCAGACCCAGCTTCTCAACTTGGCTGGCTCAACAGCTGGGTTGCAAACCCTCTTGGTTTGCAACACCAAGAGCCTGAGCATCACATAAACRTAATGCACGTTTGGGGATCTTCAGTACAGACTAGCTCCAGCCTCATCCCATGAGCTAGGCACCCATTAACAGCTGGAGATGTTACCCATGAACAGCTGGAGAACATCAGCTGCTTTCCTGGAAGGTTCTAGAATGCAAAACGACTAAGACTGGGGTGCTTCAAGCATGCTCTGATGCTCTCCAAATGAGGCATCAGCAGAAGGAGGACTATTAAAGCAAACACCAATTGCAACCATCACGTAGTCCTACCTGCCATCATGAGMCTTTGACCACAGGAGGTTGACCACCCTGCAAGCAGGAGCTGCTGTTTCCAACACTTCCTTCTGGACAGCGTGGCACAGGATTGACCCCAACGTGCACCTCACTGCTCTCCTCCCTACACAGCCTCAGGCAAGGGGCTTAGGTAKTTTTCTGCAAATCTCTAATGCCCAGAAAGCCATGAATTAAAGATTTGTTTACCAAAAAAAAAGGAAAAAAAAAGAAGGAAAATCAGTCTATTGTGTGGACTCCAGCAGGTCTCCAGGTCCTGCTATGCTTTTTCCATCCCAAAGACACTCGCAAGGAGAAATGAAAAGAGATCAGGGGAACCTCCACAGATAAGGTTTATGCTGGGGACACGTTTTGGTGAAGCAGGCAAAAACCTGCTGCCCTCCCCACCTGCCTGGACATGGAAGGATGCAAAAGATGCAGGATGGGTACATGGCGGGTCACCGTTTCAGCTCGCGAGCCTATTAAAGATGTGGTAGTCCTTGCTGGACGTGCTCTAATAAAGGAAAATCCCAGGTGGAGACAAGACTCTTGACCTAAAGCAGCAAAAAAAAAAAAAAAAAAAAGGAAAAAAACCCAAAACAGCCTTATTCCTGCTAAAGCTCTGAGATAACTATCTTGATTCAAAAGGCATTTATTTTGCAGAAAGAGCAGCCTCTACCTCTTGCAGATACGAACCTGCATTAGTGTTAAGGCAGCAAGCAGAGCAGAGCTGCCGCTGCCCCTCACCTTTCAAAAGCCTTTACTCCAGCACCTCTCCTCAGCAGGCTCTCACTACAGCATTTTTACGACTATTACGTAGCACTAGGCAGCTTTAAGCACCTCTAAGAGCAAGCAAACACCCTCTGAGGCTCTGTAGAAATGCCATTAATTGAAAAGGCAGCTTAGAGGCAGTCCTGTAAATAAGCAGCTCTGGGCAAGTAATCTATTTCAAATTGATTTAAAAAAAAATGTTTCAGAATACTTTTAAAAGCAGACACACCATCATTATATATATATTAAAAAAAACATACAGCCTACTGATGCTTAACAAAAAGAAGTTGCATGAAGTGTAACTAATTATAGGAAGGAACTAATTACTTTTAGATCTGACATGATAGCCTCTCTTATCGCAAGGATGGGTTGTTTACTTTCAAAGACAAGGAAAACATCATACCTTGTCATTAGTCGAAAGCTTATGAAAAATTATACTGTCTTCAGAATCTCTCTCGCTTGCTGTCATGATAAATTTTGCAGAGACTAGATAATGACATCCTCCTGCCACTCACCGAGATGAGCTTAACAAAGGGAAGATTCAACATAACCCTGCTTTGAAAACCCTGTGATAAGCTATTTGCTAACGACCCCAGACATTTACAATTTAAATCAGATTAGCACTGCAGACAACAGGCCTCTGCGGGAGATAGTCTTGTGAAATGACCACAGATTAGATAAGAGGAGCAGGAAGGCGGCGTGGCCTCTGTGCAAATGAACTTGTACAGCCTGAGWTCTTGTGGAAACCTGGTAAGAATGAGATAAGAATCAGATCTTTTATTTGGGCTCGAACCCACCTCCACGATGGATTTCTGTTATGCAGGCAAGATGGGGAGCAGTCCCCTCCGTAGGGCTCCACATAAGGCAGGATCAAAACCAGGAGACRTCTCCCCATAACACCCAATTTGCCAAGTGAGAACATCATCCAGATTCCAGGTGCASCAAATACTCGTGCTACTTAACTTTGGGCACCTCATGTCTAAGCCTAAATAACCAGCAGAACTTCCAAAATGCAAGTGAGAGGAGCCCTGCTAGGAACCTCTCTCCGTGCTGACACACAGAAAGCCTAATGACAGATTAGTCACCTGCATTTAAGGACAGCAAAGAGGTGCCCATCGCACGGAAGAGGGGAGAGCTACGGAAGTGTCGTCCTGATTCAGCTTCCTACCTGCAGCATCTTCTGTCTGACACAAGGAATGCACGTTGGAAGGTGAAGGCAATATGTGATTGACAAACTCTCAACCCCTCCAGGGGAACTGAGAGACACAGAGCTGGATTTTAACAGCACCACCATTAATTTGAGAGGCAGCRCAAGTGACAGAACGGGAGAGATTACTGGTTTTGTTTTCCCAAATTTGTCTGAGTCACCATGTGTTGGATCCAGCTTTAGATGTTTACTGAGGAGACATCYTCATCTTGCTGTCAGCCAAGAAGCAGGATGAGAAACTTCCAGGGTGTCGCTTAGTGGCCCCTGCATCACGGATACCAAGGTGGCTCCCACCCTGTGTGAGCTTGGAAGGTTCTCTCCCTAGCTCCCAAATGTTAATCCATGGACATCCTGATCATTTTCTRAAGGGATTGAGCCCTTCTCGTAACTGAAACAAGCTAGAGAATTAGCTGCCTAAGTTTGATGGCTGAAATTCAGCTGCATATAATTTTCCTTTCTTTAAAATAAGCATGGCAATCTTTTTTGAGGGCTATTTTAGGATTTCAGAAAGAAAAAGGAAAAACAAACCSCACAACAACTGTATCATATGCCAAGAGGATCTAGTCACGTATAAGTGTATACGTAGGAGTGCAAAAGTCTATTACAAGCACAGTTTGTGCCCATATGAACATGCACACAGACATAAAAGGCTGCAAGTTCAGCCTGCTGAATATTAAATCCTGTTCAGCGTGAGCACATGGTCTTTTGGACATTTCCTAGGCCCGAATTTATAACTGTATGGAGCGAGGAAAGGCTAAACAGCAGCAGAAAAGAAGCTGTTTATTTTATGACAGCAAATGTGCTGGTGAAATAACCGGTGGCTCTAGTCATTTTGCTGAAATTGGTGGTCCATAAATTTCAACATGTGACTGTACTCAAACAAAAAGCATCCAAAGCTGAAGGAATAAAAATGAAAAATTGGAGCCAGTTACCACGGCAAAGCACAGGACAGGATGTACAGCAAACAGGTCCCGATGCTCCCATGCCAAACACCTGTAAGAAACTGTGTTGGAAGCAAATAGACAAATCCTACCTGATAAGGCCTCACTTTATGGTGAATCTCTTGAATTCCAACCTCTCTCGTCCTTACGTCACGACACTGGAAAAAGAAAAAGAGAGAAAAAAAATCACACAAGGGAAGTACATTAGCCTCTGCAACGCACAGATTTCCAGCCACCCGTTGGGTTCAAAATTAAACTGAAATAGCGTGAAGCGGCGAGGATGAATTTCAAATGGGGAGACTTCAAACTAAAAATGCTCACCGATCCATCCCTAATACACCTTGGAAAGAGGTCTTAGTGCTAAATGGAAAGACATGCTGCTAAAAATCAATTCACTGAGCAACTGCTACGTCTCATGAGAAAATGTACCCTTTGATTCACAAGCAGCGGGCACTGGAGGGAAAATCAACATACATGAAAGAACAACAAGAAAAGACTTTGACATTATCCATTTTTACCCTACATTGGAAAGTTTTGACACTGACAAAAATCTAAATCAAGGCACCGGAAATGTCCTGAAAAATGCAGTTTCTGTATCTGAGCAAACCTTTTCCTGCTTTTAGGTGATAACAGGAGAAGAGCAGCAAAATTTCTACCCAAATATAAGAAAGCCAAGCTCATGCTGACGCAGCATCCACGAGCATCACCAAGGCCTGGGATTGACAATATTGAAACTGAAAATAGCAAAAAAAAAAGACATTTTCCTCCTGCAGAAATCACAGGGAAGACAGAGCTGCAAGCTTGGTGTTTGAGAGCTGGGTTACAGCCTGCCAAACTTGTGCATTTCTCAGCAGTACCGACAAAATTAAGTAATTTGGCACCCATCCTGATAAGGAAACAGTTGTGGTCGTATAAGTGCTCCTGCTGCAGCAGMCTCGGTGCTCTCACATCCTCGAGGGTTCACTGGAAAGATCCACGCTAACCTTAACCCAACTCTTGCCAGCAATTAAGCACAGCCACAATAGTTTTTCACCCAAAGCAGCAAGCTGCAAATCCACATACCTGCTGTATTTGGAGAGAAGGCAGATAACCTTCAGCAACGGGTTACAACTGCTCTAGCAACAATATTTAACTGTGAAGGAACTTCCAAAGACTCCCAGCCAAGAAAAGAGTGTGTGAAAAAAACAATTCACGGGAAATACCTGAAGCACAGAACAAACAGAGCTCCATCCCACGTCCTGCTCTGCTTTTAAATGCCATTATCAACGTAAAACAAAAATCCCCCCAAAAGCAGAGAATAAATGCTTCTTTTTTATAGTAGCCCTCATTGTAGTACAAAAATAAATAAATAACACCCTGGGTTTTTAGAATAGACCCACACATCTCTGCGTTACAATTTCCTAACCAGCGAACACTATGAAACCCAACGATTCACTCTTCATTAAGAAACCCAGCACTGGAAAAGGCAGCGTGTTTGTGTGATGACGCTCTGAAATGCTGCATCCGACGCGCACGTCGCTCCAGCTCCAGGCAGCAGCTGGCAGCCGCGCGAGCAGCATCCTGCGCTTCCAACAGGCTGCCCAGGGACCGGTGCTCTCCAGCGTTGCCATCACTGAATCTCAGCCCCCAAAYGCCCTTCTCACCAGGCCAAACCACAAAGAGGAGAGGCCCGAGGTGCCAGAGTTAGGGACTGGTATTCACCAGCGAGACCCACAAATGTTAAATATAGTTTCCTGCAAGTCCCCTCCCAGGCCTGGCTTTCCCCTCTCCTCTTCCGAGCTCAGAGGAAAGGGAAAAGCACATCCCGAGCTCGCTCGTACGACTCCAGGAGAAGGCAACAGACCTTACGTTTCAAGCTCGAGCGCAGCAGACCGCCTGGCTCCTCATTCCACCAGCTGCAGCGTTTCTGCCTCGCTAAATTAAAATCTGTAATTATCTGCACAGTAGAGACTTTTTTAAAGCAGATTTGGTTCTTCTGAATGCGACGGCTGCCAGCTTGACAGGCCCTTCAAGCTGCAGCTCAGTTCAACTCGACCACCAGGCTCCGATTGCCATGGATCAGGTAGCCCTGCTTCTCCAGCTGATCCTGATTGGATTCAGCTCAAAGGATGTGGTTTCAGGATCAGACTCAGGGAAGAACTCACTAGTATAGCCCTGAAGAGCTCGACTGCAAMGGCTGAGCTGCAGCATGGGGCTTGGGCCCCCTGTCTGGCTTTGAAGTGAAAAGTCAGCAGGAGAGATGGAAGCTTCAATGGCTGGCAAAGCTGTCAGCCAACTCCTGGCTTGCTCCTGGAGACAAATCAGGAGGAATGATTTATGGAAAAGGCTGTGGCTTCAGCACAGGAGAGATGACGCTGGTATGGAAAGCCCAGCTGGATGCAGGAGTCAATTCCAGAAGTCTGGACTTTATTGTCTGATCTTGTGCGCTACAGCTACAAGATGCCACTGAGCTGGCAAAAGCATCACGCAGTTAAACACAGCCTAGAGAGCTATTTGTGTTAAATCCTAACAATATCATAAAACACAAACCTGTGGGGGGCTCCTGGTACACRTGTTGTAGCTGAAGCTTTTACTGTTGCCTCTTCATTGTCCGTGACACAAAATGAACTAGATTAAAAGCTAGCTTGTGCACACCCACCACAGCTGTAATTACTGTGCTGGCCAAAAGCTCTCCTTGTAGCCGTTTTACCCTCCCTGGATTAGGAGAAAAAACACCCCAACTCACTCGTCCAATACTCACTGACTATATGACGTTTAGCAYAAAAGCACAAACGGCCACATATCTGGGTTTCACCTGCATTTCCCTCCTTGGGAACAATCCATGGGACTGATTATAGTCTAGATTGCCTTGTAACGGGTCCTATCCCACCGTGCTGGATGTGGCAATGCCTTAAAATTTCTTTAAGGAAAGTACATTAGAAATAGGGCACACTAACTCATGATAGAAACCCAGCAAGCAGCTGTGGTGTGGATCTGGCCTGCCTGAGCACCAGGACAGCAAAGCAATTAAATGTCTTTGGAATAGGCTCAAAAGCAGGAGCTTTGTGCCATTATTAGTCTAGGAACTTGGACATGAGTCTGTTGGAGGCTTAAACACCTGGATCAAACCAATGGACAAGTGGGTTTCAGGAGGGAAGCGCAAACTCAGGCAGCACAGGTCAGATGCGGGGACAGTGAGGTTGACTGAGAAGCAGCTGAGTGACAGAGCTCCAAGGGTTGTGATGAGCGGGGCAAGGTCTAGATGGAGACCTGTAGCTAACTCTGTCCCTCAGAGGTTAATCCTGAGCACAGAATTGCTCAACCTGCTCATCAGCAACCTCAATACAGGCACAGAGTGGTCCCTTCAGCAAGTCTGTTGATGATACATAACTGGGAGAAGTGACTGATGCACCTGAGGGTTAGTACCAGCATCTCTAGTATCATCTGAGTACCTTAGGACCAGCTTAGTCAGAGATTCACAGAATTTTTGACAGAATTTCAGAATGGCTGAGGTTGGAAGGGACCCCCAGGGCTCCCCCAGCGCAGCCCCTGCTCCAGCAGGGACACCCRGAGCACGGGGCACCCGGGCGCATCCCGGCGCGCTGGCAGATCTGCAGAGCAGGAGCCTCCGCAGCCTCCCTGGGCAGCCTGGGCCAGGGCTCGGGCACCCTCCCACCAAACAAGTTCTTCCTCACGGCCACATGGAGCTGCCTGCGCTGCAACCTGCACCCACTGCCCCTTGGCCTGCCCCTGGCCACCACCCACCAGAGCTTGCACCTTCCTCCCTCCATCCTCCCCTCGGCTCCTTGGACACGCTCGCCAGCTCCCCTCTCACCCTCCTCTTCTCCAGGCTCACCAGGCCCCGCTCGCTCGGGCTCTCCTCACACGAGAGCTGCTCCAGGCCCTTCCTCAGCCCTGGTGCTCTGCGCTGGCCCCTCTCCAGCAGCTCCACGGCCCCCTTGTCCTGGGGAGCCCAGAGCTGCCCCCAACGCTCCAGCTTTGGCCTCCGCAGAGCTGAGCAGAGGGGCAGGATCCCCTCCCTGCCCTGCTGCCAACGGCCTCCGGATGCAGCCTGGAGCCCACTGGCCTCCTTGGCTACCAGGGCTCTGCTGCCTCGTGGGTGACTTGGTGTCCCCAGCACTCCCAGGTCCCTCTCCATGGAGTTGCTCTATAGCAGGTTAACCCCTAATCTGTGCTGGTGCCTGGGGTTATTCCTGCCCAGGGGCAAGACCCTGCACTTGTCCTTGTGATTCTGCAAGGAGGGAGCAGCACCAGAGCAGACTACGTGGGACACTGGAGCTGCTGACTGTTACAGTGACCTTCCCATRAAACTCAAGAGTGGGCCTGTGTATCTGCTTTAAACTTCAAGTATAAATGCAATTTCTCCCTCCCTTCCTTCTCTCCACCTCCACATATATATTTATTTAACCTCAGAAATATCAAGAATATCTAGGCTCATTTTTTTTTTTCTGCAGAAATCTCTCCTGGAAGATTTCTCTGGCCTCAGACTAAGAGCTTTCTTCCAATTGTTCAGTCAAATAAGTGCATGCGTGGGAAACAGAAAGGAAGGATAATTTCYAACAGTGTAAATTAAAAATAAACCTTCCTGCTCTCTGATTTAGGAGGTTTAACTCTGCTCTGAGTGGGAACATGACAAACTAGTTACCAAGCACCTAGAGAGGTGGGGGTTAAGAGTTTTAAACTAAAAATCATTCTAAAAACCTCAAAAATAGCTTTCTGGGAATATCCTCGTCACGCTTTTTAACCATTTTAATGTATAACAATGATAATAATAATAAAAAACCACAAAACTTTGCATACAATTTTTTAGGGTTTTTTTTTCAGCGGCAAACCTAAACCCTTTACTGTGTTCTGGTCATCACTTTTCTCTCCCCCAAAATCAGCTACTTGGCATGAAGTGAAACAGCTCTCCCTCAATCAACAAATATTCCACCTGTGTCCCAAGATCCTCAATCCACAAATATTTTACCTGTGTCCCAAAATCCTTCATCCTGGCCAGGGCAAGCTCTCTCAGGTTCCCGTGCTCCACTCCAGAGCTCACTAGTGGCATCGGGATATCTCTGCACAGGAAAGGAAAAACCCAAATCACAAAAAAAAATGCATTAGAAGACATTAAACCAAAAAGTGCTATTGTGGTCACGGAGGCCAAGATCTTATGCAGCAGCCTCAAGTAGTTATCCGAATCACCTTAGTTTCAAGTCATTGGTTGAACGAGACATAACAGGCAATATCAGCTAAAGACACAAGGAAAATGGAGAGGTAAAAGTGCTACAGAACTCATTTTTGTAAGAAGACTGAAGGCAAAACTTGGCTTTTGCAGTCCTGAGTGGTAGGTTATAATTTTGTGCTCAATTCTTCACTCGGAAAGCTGAGAAAAAGGCTCATGCTGTCTAGTCTGTGCCTTGCCTAGGACACCAGGTCACAGCATCTGCTGCGGGAGACCAGCAATTGGGAARCAGACCACGTCTTTCTGCTGTGACCAAGTTGAATGTTCATTGGGGAAATACCATCAGATTTGCAACTTTTTTAAACTGGGACACTAGCTGTTTAGAGTCAAGAAGTCCTGCTTAAGAAAGGATTTGCAGCCAAGCTCAGACATAAAATCTAGGGCCCTCCTGTGAATGGGAATCSGTGGGTGTGTAAATGGCAAGAAATCTTCCTTCAGTTCTCCACGGGTGGTACTAAAAAGGTTCTTTATTTAACTATATTCTATAGAGTAATTTCAAATTATTCCCCCTTTTCTGACTTAAAATCTACCTTGATATCTCTGATAACCCATTAGACCCCTGGATGAGACCCTTTGCACTGCAGAAGACAAAAGAGGCATGTTAGCTACCTATGGCAGAAAGCACAAGCTGCCTATGAGAATAAAGTAGGAATTATAACTAGCGACAGGGCAGTTAGACACAGGTGATCTTCAAAAGCAAGAAAACACCACTTAGAAAACTCTAGAGTATTTCCAAATTAAAAACACTCTAAAAAGATGCGGACAAACCTCCTTCAAGTACTATCTAATCCAAAACCCCTCAGATTTTCTACAGGGAAATAAGAACTACACAAGTGTGAAAGATGCTTAGTACGATGTAGAACAATTTCGTCTCAAAATGCAGTTCACAAACATCCTTTGATGAGTATTCTTCCATTTTCTTCATSTCTACAAGCACTCGGCAGAGTAAAGAAGAGAATATCATCAAAAACCATACAGAGAACTGGGTGGCTGGGGAATTGGTAATGTAATTAGCTTAATCCATCTTGGTTCAGTAGTGATTGAAAGTCATCACCATCGAGCAGCTGTCTGATGACCTCTATAAAGAGTATTAATTGAGATCTATTCAGTTCCTTGTGGACTTGTGTTCACACCACGGCCACCATTAACAGTTACTATTCCGGGCAAGAGCTGTTCATGAGTGTAACGGGCTGAGAGGGTCCTGCAGGCTCCATCCTTGGGCTGTTTCACCCTTGTGGARGCCCAAGTCACTGGGCCTGGCAGGGGGCAAGAAAAGGGGGGTTCCTTTATTGTGAACGGGGAAAACAAGTATTTTAGGTTCCAGTATTCTCCTATTTCAGCATCAAATACACTCCAATTTTGGTACAACTTCTGYCTGCTGTCGGCTGGATTCTTGGGGTCTTGTGTTTACTTACTTGCCTTGATCTTCTTTCTCCAAAGCCCAAGGGTCTCAGAAAGCCTCCTCACCTCAAACTCGCTCGACGAAAAGTTGAGGCAAAATACACTTTAGCTAACCAGTTCATTTATTCCGTGGGTTTCTCTGAGTAAATAARAGGCTGCAGCGCCAACACAACATATTTCAAAGGGCTTCAATTAGAGGAAATGAGCACTTCACATTGTGACTAAGGGACACACTGCAGGAGAAGAGCATTTTCATCAGGGCATGTTAGATCCACAGTGCTAATCTAACCGAACGCCTTTCCTCTAATTATGGAGCAACTCCAAAAAGTCAGGCTGCACGTATTTCTCCTGAAGGGGCCTGGATGCAACGCACTCGCCTCTTCCTGAAGTGGGCCTTTAGCCAAAATCCAGAGTCCTCTAAGAAACAGTAAGTAAATTACTGCAAAGAAATGAAAGAATAGCAAATACAGTAAGCTCTCATCTGCCGACTAGGGAGTAAATTAAAACAGAACACGCACTTTTGTGAAAAACAAACTTTCTGAGGAAAAGGAAGCAAGGAAGAATTTTTCTATCTCCACTTCAGATCAGGGCAGGATATATAAATACATATTCTATGTACATCATGAGTACACGTGATAAATGTGTTTTCTGAACAGCTGAGAGACAACTCCTGATACAGTGATATCAAGAGGTGTTAAAATGCTAAATAAATTCAGGTTAAATTGGGGATTTGGAATTAAATTACAACCTTATTAAACTTAATGTGCTATTTGCCAGGACCTTCAATGGCACATATTTAATCTTCGACTTTTCAAAGCTGCCCTTTCACACCATCTCACAGAATCACAGAATCACACACAGAATATTCAAGGTTGGAAGGGACCTCTAGAGACCATCTAGTCYAACCTTCCYGCTCAAGCAGGCRCACCTASAGCCTGGATGGCACAGGGTGGCATCCAGRCAGGTTTTGATGACCTCCAGAGAAGGAGACTCCACAGCCTCCCTGGGCAGCCTGTTCCACTGCTCTGTCACCCTCACAGTGAAGAAGTTCCTCCTCACCTGGAGTCAGAACTTCYTGTGCTCTACCTTATGGCCATTACCCCTCATCCTATCACTGGCCACCAGTCAAAACAGCTTGTCCCCTTCCTMCCTGCATTCTCCCTTCCTGAACTTTTACATGTTAATCAGATCTCCTCTCAGCCTTCTCTTCTGCAGAGAAAACAGGCCCAGCTCACTCGGTCTCTCCTCATACGAGAGATGTTCCATTCCCTTAAYCATCCTAGTTGCTCTTCTCTGGACCCTCTCGAGAAGCTCCACAAAGCACCAAAGCTCCACAAAGCACCAAAGCTCCACGAAGCTCACACACCAAAGCACCTGGATACACAGCAGGTTCGGAAGCATTTAGATTAAATAGAGTATCACACATCTCAAATAGTCATGAAGCACCCATGAAGACCTCTTCCAACCAGCCATTAGCAACAGCCTCACAATCATTTTGTAATTATTTAACTAGGCTTTCAGAAGCAGAAGGTTTCTCCACTGTCCTGATGCCCCCTTCAACCTCACTCCACTCCTTAAGCTGGTAATTTGGAATATGCGACAAATTACCCAAGTGKTGAGTCCTTACACTTCCTGAAAACCTGCCAATAGGGAACAGAAATCCCAAAGAGAGACCCTGGTAAGGATGAGCACGGCTGGCTTGGGCTTTTGCTGTGGTTTTGTGCATGCATCAAAGAGCCTGTTGGAACAAAGGGAGCTCAGAACATGGCACCTCTGGGGCAAAAGCTGGATCTGAAAGGATTTTGGAGACAACTTGATATGAGAGGTCTGCAGGGGCTGCCCGTGGAAGCTGCTAAAGTGAGATGGGAAGGGCTTGGAGAGGTTGCAATGGAGAGCAATAGGCGACCGGGAAAAAGGTGCTACCCTCAGTGAAGCAGTMCTGGGAATGCAGGGCAAACATTTTAGAAATGAGGCTTTGTTCATTATTCTGCTACAGAGTAACACAATGATGCCGAAGGCAATTTAGATCCAAGTAATAGCTTTTGCACTTTGCACCGGAGGTGTCAAAATCTGTAATCAGCAAGAACAAATTTCAGATAACAGGAGCCAGTCAGCAAGAAAACAATTATTGCACTGGAACATAATAACTGAGGACTGCGTGACAGCTGGATGGAGCCTTCTGCTGCTGACAGAAGCGGCGCACGAGTGGGTTTTCCAGGTCTGTGTTCCTTAGGAGAAAACCTGCCAGGCTGCAAATTCACAGCCCTGTAAAATGAGCAGCTTTATCTTTGGATACAATGTGAGGCTGGTAACATCATGAACAAATGTACTACTGTGTCTGTACTGGAGTTCATCAGGAACAGGACAAGAGTTTTGCCTTTGAAAATGCTTCCACAAGTGATGTGAAAAGCCTGCGGTCTGATCAAATAAGATATGCTCTAAGATGTGTTTTACCTTCTTTATCAGGTTCACATTTCCTCTTTTCAGAATTCAGCTGCAGCTCTCAGCTTGTCAAAGGAACAAAGAATTGAAGAAGGCACCTCCTGGGATCTCAAACTGCATCTCAGTTACTACAGACTGTCAGATCACAATCACATTCATAAATCTAATCAAGTTTCATCAGAGTAATAATTTGGTGGTTCTTCTCTTAAAGGTGCTCTAAAACTCTGCGAGGCTTCCTCATTTTGCCTGCTCTCAGAGCACTATGCGTTGGCAGTGTTTCAAACTCACGTAGCTAGAAATCAACTGAATATTGTCTGCACATACAAAAATGGGTAATGATGGCATAGCCTCCCTTCTTATCATCGGGCAGACCTAAGAGATAATAGAGGAAAAAAGAGCAAAGAATGGCTCCACGCTGAAAACATCGAGCTTAAATGCAAGTCCTACTTAGCTCTCTGGAAGGTGGGGATCTAGATGGAATATAAACATAGGAAACTTGATCCACAGTGTAGTGGCAATTTTCCCATCAATATCATTCTGCTTGTTCCACATCCTATGTTTTAGTCTGGCTGGCAGCACAAGTGAAGCCTCCAGAAATTTGCACCTATATATGAGCATATCAGAGAGGCAGTTCAGTTTAAATACCTTCCCGTTTCACTTGGCCTTTCACACAGCCAGACAGAAGCAGTTTGAAAAATCTTTAATGCGCTAACGATTAGGCCTGGAAAATAATAGAAGAGTGAGTCACATCTTGCTGCAATTAAAGTAACGACCCCTCCCAGCGCAATAAATCAATGTGCCAGGCCCACCAAAGAACATTACCTCTGAAYGCGATACACTCGTGTCCAGGGTGGGACAAGAGCCAGGATCCTGGCCACCAGATCCACGAGGGTGCTGGGAGGGTAGCTCTTGTACCTCCCAGTTTTCCACAGCTCATACAGACCCGTGCCACGGATCACGAGCGTTGGATAGAGCTTCATCCCATCCGGGCGAAAGGCAGGATTCTCAAAAAACTCCTGGAAAAAAAGAGAGCAAAAATTGAAGTCAGAGAGTAACAAGCTGGATTTCCTGGGGCTATAGTGGTCCCCAGCTGGGCAAAAACATCCCCAACAGAACAGATTGTAGAACAGATTTTATAAAACATAACTGGAAGTGCTACTAAAGAATGACTGGCTTGCACTGAGATTTGAATATTTATAGGTTTAGAACGTTTTTAGGAATAGTATATTCTAGATTTAGGGAGAAAGGCACTGAAGAAAACAACCATGTGACTGCTGTAAGTCAGATCTGTGCATTACTGCTACCTTTCAGCAGGAATTCAATAGATTCAACAGATACTGCACCATTTATTGTAACAGGTTTTACCCAGAATTAGAACAATAGAAATGAGGGTACTTATCTTCCATCTCAACAGACCACATTTAGAGATTAATCAATGTGTCTGGGACACATCATTTGAATAACAACGGAGAAAAACAGATTTATTCTACAGTGAGGTGGGAACAATCCTGCAGAAGGGGAGGACAAGCTGCATTTCCTCCTTACTTATGACTAGATACCAATACAGAGCTACAAATTGAACACCACCAGCTCACACTACGCAATTGCACTATTTTTCTCCTATTAAATTTCAGTAACAATGATTAAAACCACTTACAAAAATGAACAATAAAAGAACCCAGCAGCACCCCGCAAAGGAGCAAGTTACCATTAAATCCACTTAAGCGATGACACAACCATCTTTTTACCAGTGTCCGGGGGCAAATCTAATACTGGATTACACTAATGCTCACTTGCAATCCCCAGCTTGACCCATCTGTGAAGAAATGCAAGCTCACTGTGCCAAGTTAGCAGCTGGGGACTGCTGCTTTTTGTGCTCACAGAATGGTTGGGGTTGGAAGGGACCCCTGGAGAGCCCCTAGTGTAGCCCCCAGGGCTGTCTGAAGTTTGTGGTCCAGGAAAGTTTCCAGGTGGCTTTTGAGCATCTGCAAGGATGGAGGCTCCACAACCTCTCCGGGCAACCTGCTCCAGGGCTCTGTCACCCTCATAGTCAAGGAAGATTATCCCTCATTTTCAAACAGACCTTCTGGTGTTTCAGTTGGTGTCGTTGCCTCTTGTCCTATTGCTGGGTTGAGAAGAATCTGTTCCCATTCCCTTTACATCCTCCCTTCAGATATTTATGCGTATGGACAAGATCCCCTCTGTCTTCTCCAGGCTGAACAGGCCCAGCTCCCTCAACCTTTCCTCCTAGGACCAGATGCCCCAGCATCTTCACCATCTTCATAGCCCTCCATTGGACTTGCTCCACTAGCTCCATGTCTCGTACTGGGGAGCCCAGCACTGGACACAGGACTCCAGATGTGGTCTCAACAGGGCAGAACCACCTCCCCCAGCATGCTGGCAATGCTAATAACACAGCCCACGATGTCACTGGCTTTCTTGGTCACCAGGGCACTTTGCTGGCTCGTGGTCACCTTATTGCCCACCAGGACCCCAGGTCCTTCTCTTGAGAGCTGCTCTCCAGCAGGTCACTCCCAGCTTGTCTGGTGCACAGAGTTATTCCTCCTTGAGGACAGGACTTTGCATTGTTGAACTCTATGAGGCTCTTCTCATGAACGTAACCAGACTCTGAACACATTCATGTCCCTCAAGTGGCCCAAACGCTTGGGAATTTTGGGGGACYGRCCTTCTGGAGAGCAGCTCTACAGAGAAGGACCTGGGCGTCATGRTGGATGACAAGCTAACCATGAGGCAGCAGTGTGCCCTGGTGGCCACGGAGGCCAATGGGATCCTGGGGGGCATTAAGAAGAGCATCTCCAGCAGGTCGAGGGAAGGGATTGTCCCCCTCTACTCAGCCCTGGTAAGACCACATGTGGAGCCTGTGTCCAGTTCTGGGCTCCCCAGGACTAGAGGGATGTGGAGCTGCTGGAGAGAGTCCAGCGCAGGGCTACSAGGATGATCAGGGGCCTGGAACATCTGCCCTGTGAGGAGAGGCTGAGGGAGCTGGGCCTGTTCAGCCTGGAGAAGAGGTGGCTGAGGGGGGACCTGAGCAGTGTCTATAGATACCTCAAGGGAGGCAGTGAGGAGGATGGAGCGTCCTCTTTTCAGTGGTGGCCACCGAAAGGACTAGAGGGAACGTCCACAAACTGAAGCACCAAGAGTTCCCCAGGAACTTAAGGAAAATTTCTTAACAGGGAGTGATAGAGCCCTGGAATAGGCTGCCCAGAGAGGCTGTGGAGTCTCCTTCTCTGGAAATCATCAAAACTCACTTGGACACAGCCTGTGTCACCTGCTCTGGGTGACCCTGTGTGTGCAGGGGGTTGGACTAAATGATCTCTAGAGGTCCCTTCCAACCTTAAGGATTCTGTGATTCTGCGAGCTCCTGGTATGCCTAGTGAGCACTGAGACCAACACAGAGCATCACGAAAGCTGGCAGCAGGATCTCTGCGCTCGGGCAGCACCGAGCTGTCCTGCTGTCCCACAAAAACACCCAGGAGAAACCCAGCAAGGGGCTTTTTGCCAGTCTAGCACACTCAAAAGCACACACCCAGGTGCACGTTAGATCCCGYGCAAGGAAGGGAGGACACAAGCAGGGTGGGAGGATCTTGCCTGCAACCTGTTTGGGATGCTCTATTTTTAATTTTTGCACCATTATTTTAACTTGGATCAACTCACTGACTTGAGTTACCTGCTGATTTGCAAATATTTTTGCCAAAAATTGTAGCTGTTAAGAAGAAGGCACAAGAACCCCACTGTGGAGTAGCTAGAATGATCCTCAATGGAGGAAAACGTTTGTGCAGAAAGTGCAAGACCCACCACCTCCATCACCAGACTCCAGGAGCGTTATCAAACTCAATCCCTTCTCATAATGGCTGCAAAAACCAGATGGGAGACACTGTCTATATGTCCCATTAAGCTATGTGATCCGTGACATGGTTTAAAAAGAAGTGGGCCAGAAATAGATGGTTCTGGACTGCAAGGTTGAGGCACGTGCTCTGCAAGGTACACAGGTAGGAGACTCTGGTCTCCTCCTTTTCTTAGGACTCACTCAGGTGGGAAAACACAGATATCATGGAAAACAAGGATACTGGTGTCAACTAAGGAGAAGGAATAACAAAGGGTCTTCTCTTCCTTGAAGGTCCTTTGGGGTGGTTCACGCTGGTTCAACCCAAAACATGATGGTTCCTTTCCCGTCCGCTCCCTACACATCCCTTGGTGCCCGCTCTGATTCCCAAGTGGCTCCTGGCCCAGAGGACTCCGCTCGCTAACGCACAAGCTCCCAACAGGCACCTTGGGGAGAGCAATTTTCCTTCGTCTGGCACTTGGATCAGGTCATGGAGGAGCCTACCGAGTACCAGAGCGGGAGCAGAAACAGCAAGGGGGGAAAATCCCCRAGGAGGAACAGGGGGCTCCTTTACCTGTCCACACACCTCCTGTCCCAAAGGTTGTTGGCCATTCCAGGCGAGGCARTGCCCTGGCTGGCGGCAAGGGCAGCCGTGCTGTGCTTGGCTGCCCASCCTTCCCTGCTCGAGGTCGTCGTTGTCCCTCAAAACACAGGGAAGAATAAGAATCCGCGGCTTCATTTCATTCATTGCGGGCAGCCGGCTGCAGCAGGYGCCTTATCCGGAGCCACACGGCACATTAGGCAGCAGTGATTAATTCAGGAGAGTGACATCCTGGCACAACCCAAACGGACGCCCTGCCATCCTGGGGAGCTGCTTAGAGGAGCTCTAAAAAGGAAATAGGGAAGAAGGAGCAAGAAACCCTCTAAGAGGGGAGCCCGGCAGCACTGAAGGYGGGAGAGACCCGAAGACAAGACCACGATGATGCTTCTACAGCGAGATACACAAGGCAGACACAGCAAGGAATGCAGCCATCCCATYTCCAGGAAGATTAACATTCCCGGCMATCCCGAAGCGGTTGCACGCGCACGTGCAATTCCCCGTGGGAATATTGAAACRTGGGCTCATTTACCTTGCAGATCAACCGCAAACACGTCGCYGCTGCGGCTCAAACCACCCAGCAGGCAGAGGCAGGGTCAGCAGTGAGGGCTCCTAATCGAGGCTGGCGACTGGCACGCTGCATATTCCACATCAGATACGAAGCCAGCTGATAACCCTACCTCGTATTTTGGTTACAGTGATATGAAAATCCTAACAGCTTTTTGCATTTAGATCTCAAACTGCTTCTCAAACCGTTCCTCACGTTTAGTTAAATAAAACCTTCACCGTACAACACAACAACCCTCCTTTGTTCCCAGCACCCTTTCCTGTGTGGAACAACGTGGCCTTACGCCAAGGCAGGTCCGTGATGCTCACTTTAAAGCTTTGCTTTAAATCCCCCCTTTTAAGAGCATAATCAAACCTGTTTACAAAGGAAAACCGGGTAAGTCTCTCCGAAATACAGGCAGGCAAAAAGCAAACACATCCAAAGCTTTAGTAGGAGTGCCAGCCAATTTTTTATTTTATTTTTTTTTCAATTAGACACCTTAAAAGGTGTCTTTACATGATAAAAACGCTTGGAACATGTTGCTGCCAGGAAAAATAATCCAGTCCTTAAACCAGCATTTGTTCCAGCGAGCACCATTGAAAGCATCTCTGGAGCCACCAGGAGGCTTCCCAGCGATACCAATAAGCAGTCGATCGGGCCTTAAATCGGCATCTGCTGATGCACCTTAAAGTAAGAGGTTAAAGACGACCTAGAGAGAAGAGGATCCCTGGCTATTTCCATTTTTGTTTCCTTTTCAAATCATTTGAGGATGCAGTAAAGCGCTCTCGCACGCATGAATATTCCAGAYGGAAACAGAGGCAGCTTCAAAGCCACTAAACCAATTTGTTTTGAATGTGGACTTTTCTCCCCTCCAGCGACAGCCGGCAAGGCCACCGCAGTTTAACGCTTTTTGTATAATGAAGACGGACGCTAGAGCAAAATCTTTAATTTCTGCTCATAAAGGACGGGCAGAGAACGTGGGATTTTCACGGTAGCTTAATAAAAGTGGCCAAATTCAGCAGAAACT